GTACGACATCCTCCGTGGGGTGCAAAACAAGAAGGATTTGGAAACGGAGTGGACCTTACCTACAGGATTTCGTAAACTGCATTTAGGCACGTTTTGCGAATGTCACCAGCGTGTCCATGCAAGGCTTTGCAGACCGTCAACCTGTTTTACAACTTCGGTGTGAAGTTGAAACATCGAGAGATGTCGTTCGACACCCAAGGTTTTGCACACGTGGATGTACGATGGACAAGATTGTCTTCGGCTCGTGCTGCATTCGCTTTGTTAGGACCAGGCTGTTGGCAGCTTCAATGCGAGCTCCGGCCGAGTGGCTTCCTGAGTGTTATTCAATGAGCGAGCTTTGGTTCGGGAATATGTTCGGGCAGTAGACAGAAGATTGCAGGTCAGAAGCTCTGGAATTGATTGGGTTGTATGGCACCTGGCTGGAACACCCACCAGACGCATGCTTAAACCGTTTGAGTGCTTGAGATTGCTTTGCCACAAACGCGGATGGCTTCTGCGATGTGCACTGAACGAAGGATGCCTCGATTGTCTATGCTGTCGGCTCCCAAGAAGTCACTCCGACATCCATCGTTTCTTCAACAAGTGCTTCGAGGTCATGTCTCATTTCTTGGACGATGGCAAACCCATGGTTGTCAGGGTCGGGGCAGCACATGTGGCTTGCTTTGTGGAGAAAGGCGAAGACGGGCTTCTGGCAAACACCGGTTGACGCCAGGACATTGCAAAGCAGTTGCGGGAGGACTGGCGCTTCTTGTTGGAGGCATGTTCATGTTTGGAGTACAGGAGCATGACAATGGCTCCGTTGGCACAAAAGAAGAGTTGTACGTCCCCATGTTGCTTCTGAAATTCGATGGAGGCGCCACTATACAACTTGGCGATCGAAGCCATGCTGTCGCTTCCGCATGGTCAGGTGCGGCTTTGATGTGGAAGCTGTTAAGGCTGTTTAGGCGGCTGTAACGTGTGTTTCTGCTGGCTTCCGCAAAAGGATGGCTTGCTGGAGGCCCTGGTTTTATTTCAGGTGCCCTGGTTTGAGCACGTCTCTCTCTGTCTGGGTCTGTTCGCCGCAGAAGCAGGATGCGGTGCAGATGGGTGTGAAGTTACCGTGGGAGCCTCATGTTTCAGCTCTCTGCATTCGGACTGATGATTGGGTTGGTGACAAAGGCCAAAGACCCAACTGCAATTGCTCAACAAATGCATTGAGCTCGGCATACCACGATCCTGAACCTCGGCCTTCTTGATGAATAATCATGCATGTCGTGCCAAGGTCTTGTGGCCGTCGAGGAGGAGGACGAGGTCCGCCCACGGTGCCAATTGGGGATCGTAGGCTTGCCTGCAGCAGCTTTGGCAGCCTCGTCGGCAAACGCCGAAGCCGGTCAAAGCTAACCTATTTTGTTTCTGAAGGCATCCGGCACGAAGCTTGAATCAGCGCAAGCGGCCTATGCATCCCATGCCCGGTAGACTTGATCAAGAGTCTGCCTTCGTCAAGTGCAACAAGAAGTCCAGTTCTTTGTGGCAAGGTTGACTGTTGCAGAGTCTCTTTCCAGAGATGGATATGTGCGAGCAGGCTGGATCAACATTTCCGGTACCAGCGAGAATGCTCTCACACATTGCCTACTACCCAATGCTGAAATCAAGAGTTTCAACTCGGGGTCGGAGTCTTTCGCCGCTCTGGAGACAGTGGCCTTAGCACAGGGCAGTTCCGAGAGTTGCGGCCATTCATTGTGGTCTTCAACTTTTCAGAAGTTTGCTGCAGGTGGTTCGGAGGTGTCGTGCTCGATTGCATGGCTCCTGTGGCACATGAAGGTGCGGAGTTCCTGGGTTCCAGCGTGCGAAACGCCTGCATCCGCGAGCTTCCGCTTGTTTGTGCAGGACTTGGAGCCCGGAGCCTTTTCCTCGATCCTAGACGGTTGGCCTCCTACAATTTCTCGTGGTAAAAGCCTGGTAGTGACGTAACAGAAACCTATAGCCTTTTCAGCAAAGCTTCGTGCAGGAAAACCTGAATTTGGTTGATATGTCTCACTGCTCCGCCCCAGCCATGGAGTCAAACGTGACTTAAGCAAGATTTCTCTCCTCCGGAGGGTCGAGGGTGCAGAAGAGTTGGTTGCTCCGAAAAGGACACTCCTGCTATTGGGTTTCTCAGGCTGGAGTGCAATATGAGATTTGCTTCATGGTCATTGAACGACAAGTGCATCCCAGAGAGAGCATCGTTTCTGCTGTTTCGCATGCACCGATTCCCAAAGGTCTTACAGCTGGCAACGAGAGTGCAGAGACGGGAGCGCCCTCAAAATTTGCCAAACAATTGTCAGCTCGTTGAACGTAGGATCCTGCCTTTTTGGAAGTGTGATTGGTGCTCGCATTTTTAGTTGTTTCAGACTTCTCTCGGAAATCCTCTCGGGAGTCTGCGCAGTCGTGATTCTCTTGTCACTCACTAGTTGAGCTTCTGCAGTTCACTCGAGATGATTGAGCTTTCGCATTCTGCTGGATGAGTTTCTTGGCTTCCCGCCCTTGTGCCTGCCGAAAGGCTGTCTTGGTGTCACTGGCTGTGTTTGGTGATTCTAGGATCTACCTCTGTGCTGCTGTCTTCGCATGTGGAAGCCGTCTTTTGACGGCCACTTTCGCTAATCAAGTTTACTGTTGACGACTGTATGATGACTACAAGCGTCGATTTTTGGAACCACGGCAGCAGCTTTGCTTTGAAGAGCCGACACTGCCCCATAGAATCACAGTCCTGCCATCCAGGTCGTGATGTTTGGGACACCGATTTTCTTCGGGTCTGCTCCGCCCCTTGGACAGACAGGATGGCAAACAACTGTTTCGATCTCGTTCGTTTTTTGTGCAAGCGCCAGGCTCACCATCAAGCATTATGGATGACGTGGTTGCATAGGGCTTGTTCTAGCTTTACGAGCCGGATCCTGAGCTTTATTCAGTAGGATGTCTTGTCCAATCTTGTTTGCCGTTTCACCACCACTGCAGGCCGAAGTGGCTTTTCAGGAGACTTGCCAGCCGGTTTTTTCCGAGCGCTGGAGGCTGATGACACAGTCACATGACGTAGCAGACGTAGCACATGGCAACACGCCCAACCCGAGTTTTTCAGTCAAAGCCCGGCTTGTATGTAGTCTTGCATGTCGCCAAGCCCTGCATCATAACCTTAAGCCTTGTGGGCGGGTCCGCGTCCTGTACATGGCATGGGGACACGCTGTGGGCTGCACAACGTGTCTCTAATTTTCCTGAGGAGTGTCGTCTTGATATTGTGTTTCGTGGGGCTTCCAGGAATGCAGTAGCAAGGGCAGTGGCCTCACAGGGGTGCCGGTTCGGGTTTGTCTAGTTTGTCTCTGGTTTAAACCAATGAGCCTTTAAGACCTTTCGCATTACAATCGTTCACACTGGGCACGCTTCAAGATGCTGCAAGCTTCAAATTGCTGGCGCACACCACCATGCTGCGACGAAGCGACAAATTGACATCCGCAGTGTACTGGCTGTGTCTGACTCTAAGCTCCATTGTCTTCGCATGCAGACCACAGCCCCGAGCCCAATGACGAGCAGTCTGCATGCAAGGCATCGGAAGACGCCGATGCAAAGCGGATGGTGAAGGTGCCAACTGAAAGCTCACGGTTGTGCCTCGACGACCTGTCTTGTTTCAGGTGTGCCGAAGCACTTTCGGACGCTGCTATCCAGATGGTGAGGATGATGTGCATGCAGCGGTGAAAAGAGGTGGCGACACAGCAGTCCAGCTTTGTTGAGCCTTCCTTTGCGTGTCTGTCGGTCTTCCCTATATCTGCGAAGTGCATGCATACTTCGCCGCCAGGACGGCCAGGACACCCTGGACTTCTCTCGTTCGTCTGTCGGTGTTTGTGTCATTTTGTGTCAGTCTGACAACTTTCGCAACCATCCTCATCTTCAGATCTGAACAAGAAGCCAACATGACGGCTCAATCCAGCGGATGAAGCAAGATTAGCGCGACTGTGGGAGTATGTTCTGAACATGAAGATGAGTTCGGCCTACATGACGGTACAGCAAAGTGGCCCTCAAGAATCGTTCCCATTGCAAGACCGAGGCCTGAGCAATTTCTAGGCCTTCTCTAGATACTTTTCGCGTTCGCTGGTCCATTCAGGTCATCCCATGTTACTTGATGCCCGTCCGTGTTGGTACGTCTGTGCGTCATGTGCGGATCACAGACATCGGCAAAGCACTCTACTGGAAGGATGTAGGTGGAACATGTGTCACGCATTGTCATGCATCGCCAGGCTCGGTGGGTTGACCATAGTTGATGTGCGGACCAACCCTGATTGGCCGCTTTAGGACGGTGTTGTTTTTGCAAAATTCGGAGCTGGTACGGACGCTGCACCCTTTCATTCCTCTTGCTGTTCAACTCCTATCGGGGAGTAATATCTTGCCCAGTCTTTCCAAGTCAGTCATGCGTTTGCATCCGGCTGCAAGCTCATTCTTGTCTTCGATTGTCCGGCATTCATCCGTCGCACGGCGTTGGAAATTTGTCTTCGATTGTCCGACATTCATCCGTCTCACGGCGTTGGACATGGTTTGCCGAGGATGTGCGGTCAGGGTGACTGCGAGGATTCGCGAGGGTATTGTCACAGCCGGGCAAGGAAGTTGTTGGACAGTGCGATTTGAGTTTCCGTGTTCGATTCGGCCGACCGATGGAGACATATGGAGACCAGGCAAGCCATTTAGAGCGGGTACACATGGCCTAGGTTCATCCTCTGACGGCTGATTGCTGGCTGCTGCAGAAGCAACGGCTGATGATTGTGAGAAGCCCGCAAGTCCCACTTGTTGGTAAGCAGTGTACTTCTTGTTCGGATCAGGATTGGATCACAGTGATGGTCCCATGGTACTTCCGTTCATCAACATGCCGTCAAGTCCTTCCATTTGTTGGGATGAAGTATTTGGCCGGACACCACAACTTCTTCCCTCGGACACTTTCAGGCCTCCGCTGCCATGGCGTTTGCACCGCGATGCACTGCACGGCCTGTCGCAAGACAGCAAACATGCCGCGGCTGTTCACTGACACCGGGCGTCATGTTGCGCACAGATATTATCGAGCACCCTGTGCAACTTCAAAGAGGCTCACGGATCTCTGCCGATCGATTATCTGGCCTTCATGCTTTTGAGGGGGAAAGCCTCGAGGTTCGTGGCCGTGCCTCAGCCGCCGACGAGCCCGTGTAAAGATTCGGGATATTGGATTTCTTTCTGTTGTGCATGGAACGAGGCTGGGTGGCAACATGTTGTCCGGTTTGATATTAGCGTTCGGCCACAGATTTGGCAGGTCTTGGCACGAAGGCCGCTGGCAATGGTGGCACAAACGCAAACAGAGCAAGACAGCCTTAGCCGACAGGTCCTATTACCATGCCATGCAGCTTCCCAGCAAGGTTGTGTTCTTCAATGCCACCAGCACGATGACATGGTTGACTGCCTTGACCCTTCTGTCCTCGAGTGCCGAGATTCAAAGAGTTTTGGCAGCTCCTGACTATGCTGCTCTGTGGCGGCATAATATGAATTGTGCTCGGTTTCGCTTGTACGGCTAGCCTTACCGACGCAGTACCAGTCTATGCCATGTACGTGTGGATTGGCAGGGCTACTCAGCCATTCTTGCGAGCTTGTTGGGTCGTGTCCTGGTACAGCAATGTACACTTCTGTTGTTAGCCGCAGATTGCGACTTTGGTCGGAGCATGGTTTCATGTTTCCGCTTTTCCACCTCTTGCAGTGCTAGGTCACACACTCACAGACTCGGCTTTGTTAGCCCTTTGCCCATTCCCTTGTAGATATCTGTGTCAGGATACAAAGCGTATTCTGAGTACCACGTTGTATAGTTTGTATTGGTAGCCGCTTTGACACAAAGTGAAGCAAAAGAGGTTAGCCTGTGCCGTGTTTGCGTGGTTTGAGGGTTAACCTAGAGGACGCGGGTTGCCAGCCCGGCGGTACCAGCTGGCTGCGGGAAGGTCCGCGCCAGGGTTGCTTCGGTGTCAGATCGGTGCCAGGGCGGCGCCTACGAAAGGCAGGGGTAAAGGGAAACCGTCTGGCAAGAAGAAGAACACGACGGGAAAACGGAATGCCGACTCTTCCACATGTCGCGTAGGGCGCGGACAGGCGAAGCTGCTCGCAACCGCCCAGGATAGAGCAGAAGCTTCTGCCTTGGCGTCTGAGTCCGGGGCCCGGGGCTCGGAATCACAGGGGCCGCGGATGAGGCTGTCCAACAAGAAAGGTGGTTGTGATTTATACTGCACAGGAGGCCGTGGAAAGGTAGATTGGTAGGGAGGAGCAGATCCGTTGGATGGTGCGCAAGCGCCGAAAGAGGAAGTCGCACAATCCGCGAGTGGACCTCAGGTCAGTGCCTAGGCCTAGGCAGGCACAAAAAAACCGAGATCTTCGGTCCGTTCTTCGGCAACTGCAGCTTCGATCGGTGGCGCCGGTGGTGCAGCGAGCTCGGAAACGGCTTCGAAAACTTAAGGAGGCCCTCACCATCCCCAAAAACAGCTGGAAGCAGGCAACCATGAGGCAACGCCTGTTGATTCAAGGGGTTGTTACCCGTAGGTTGCCGAAGGGAACGGTGGGTGAGGCCATCCGCAAGAAAGCCGGGAGTCAGGAAGCGTGCAGTACCTGCGACGAGCGCGTGGCAAAGTATCGACCGGAGGTACGCAAACGCGTGCTGAAACGGTTGAGTGGACCTGTCCAGGAAACCTTGTAGAGAGAAGGAAAGGGCACAAGGCTGGCTGTAAGGAAGGAAGAGGAGCAGGAGGAAAGTGAAAGTTCAGACGGCGAACTTGGAAGCGGGGCTGACTCCCCCCAAGCTCCCCAGATGGGCCCGGCGATGCCGCCAGTGGGCCGGGTGATGCTGGAGCAGCAGCTCCAGCAGCAATTGCAGCAAACTAATTTTATGCTGCAGCAGATGAACGGCAGGCTGGCAACACAGGAGCCCAGCTGCTACAGCTGCAAGCATCAGGTCTGGCGGCCCGTGGTCGGCAAAGCACCTTTGACACGGACTGCCAAGGCCAAGCCAGCCAACAGGTTAAGGGCGGGCCTGGTAGATACCAGGCAACTCCACGGAGGAGCACTCCAGCGATTGGTCCTTTATCTTCGGGTCCTGTTTGAGCTGCATCGATAGCAGTGCTGGAGCAAGCTAAGTTTTCCAAAACGAACTTCCCAAACAGGGCTCTGTCGGAGGCTGACAGGGATGTTTCATGTCAGCTTTACGATGTGTTGGTGATGTTGCTAAGGGGTCGACCCCTGGACATTACATACAACACGGGCCTGGGTGAAGGACTTGAGGCCTACAGGCGCGTCTCGCTATGTGGGGACCCGTACCACTTTGCTATCGAGCAAGTTTGGTGATGTGGAGGGGGACCTAGCGGCGTTCGAGAAGAGCGTTCGCAGGTATGAACAGGAGAGCGGCAAAAGTCTGGAACTCGAGCCGACTCAAGTCGTTTTCGGATGTAAAGACCGAGCTTTTGGAGATATCGCGGAGCAATCGTGCCTGGCGTCTGCAAACTCTCCCGCAGCCCATGGACTTTGGAGCTGCACCGTGGAAAAAGAATGACAAGGACGAAGGCAAAGGCAAAGGCAAAGAAAAGGGTAAAAGGGACAAAGCCTTTCAAGGAGGTACAGTAGAGGCCAAGGCCAGGATGCACACAAGCAGAAGACCCAAACTCAAACACGAACAACCCAAACCCCAACAAAGACAAGGCATGCTGGTACTGTCGGAAGGGGGCCATGAAGCGGGGCCCTGTTGGGGCTGAGTGCCGAAAGAAGCAAGCCGATGCCAAAGCCAAGCCCTAAAGGTAGCGAGAGAAGAGGAATCTACCATACACTGGACCCCGGGGCCAATCACCGTCCATGTGCCTTTCGTGCTGGCTCCTAAGCTTCTGGTTTGTAGCAAGGCACTCCCTCGTAACGGTAACCATCCCAGGCTTCCGAAACAGGCGAGACTCTGCCCCCGTATCCACAAAGAACCTCGGTCTCAGTGGCCTCGATGCTGGGCGTCGCCGCCGCCGTGCCAAAGCAAAAGCCTGAGGCGAAGCCGACATCGGTTCAGATGAACACGCCCAAAGGCTCAAGCCTGGCGCAATGCAACTGAGACTGGCGCGGGTGGCCCCGCCCAGGGTTTGCCGCAGCTAGGCGACGTGCCAGCTGAAGCGTCAGAGGCCGCGCGACGGCCGAAGAACAAGAGAATCCCCGATACCGTAAGCAAAGCCGAATATGACGAACATGTGTTGACTCACCTGCCCGATGCGAATTTGGTGCGACCAATGTATGGAAGGCAAGGTGCGCGAAGACGATCATTCGGCACGCGAGCCAGTCGGGCGAGCTCCCGAAGTTCTCCGCATGTCTGTCGACTATTGAGCACTGCTTTTTCGGGAGGGCTTTGAAGAGCAGCCTTAACTCTGTTGACGAAGTAAGGGTGCCCGAGGATGAGAAGGACTGCCTCCGTCCAATCCTTGTGATGGATGAGACGTCCAGCTGTGTTTTCACCGGAGTATTGGCGAAGGGTGTCAATCCGTATGCCACTGGATTGGTGACTGAGGCCCTGAAGTTTTGCTTGCGCCAAAAGGTGATCATGATGACAGATGCTGAGCGCAGCATCAAAGTTGATCAAAGCCGTAGCTGAAAGCGCAGTCCGAGCTGGACTGGCAGTGTCCAGCCACGAGACAGCAGCCAATCCAGCTCACGTTTCCACTGGCATGGCCGAAAGAGCCATTTTGGAGTTGGCGCGCCAGGTGCGGACCCTTGCCAGTGCGTTTGAGAGCCACTGCAAGAAACGCCTGGCTTGCCGTGGCTTGTACGTCATGCGGGATGGCCTATCTCGCGTTTTCTTGTGAAGCAAGACGGCGGGACGTCGTACGAGCGACTTCGTGGACGAGACTTCCGTGATTCTGCGGAGAGATCGCTGAGTGCTGTGAAGTTGTACACGTCAAGCTGGACCGGGAAAAGACCGGAAAGCTCGACAAGCAGACGTCGGTTGGGCAAGTCGCTTGCCACTGACGAGCATGTCTCCAGAAGCCTCTGGAGACGACCACAAGAGAAAAGTTGGGAAGTAAAGTACCTTCAGGGCATGGTGGGGCTACCTTGGCTTGGCAGTCCCACCGTGAGTGAGCCCAAAACTGTTTTTTTCGGACAGCAAGGCGCCAGCTCGAAAGCAGCCCTTGGTGTATATCACCCTGGAGCGTCACCCATGGCGACTTAGTGAAGGCAGCCAAGCCAAGTTGGCAGACGCCACCGGCCGGGACTTGGAGTCGGGCAGTGCCGAACCAAGTAAACCTTCCACTTCCAGGCCAGGGGACTTTAGGAGTTAGGTCAAGCCAGAAGCGTGAAGTTGAGGATGCAGGTGGTTACGCTCCTACCGGTTCCAGCAGTGGCGGGTTGCGCCGCACTACCGGAAAGACCCCTGACGCGTCTAAGAAGCAGAAGACCCCAGACCCAAGCGGTGAGAAACGTTCTCTTGAAGACCAGGAGTTGATCTGACTAGTAGCAGTAGCAGGATAGCAGCAGCAGCAGCAGCAGCAGCAGCAGCCGCAGCAGCAGCAGCAGCAGCAGCAGCAGCAGCAGCAGCACTTTCGGGAGACGCGCGAACAGGCCAGCCACTTCCCCTAGACAAGGTCAAGACCGCCATGGCGCGTGAACTGGACAACATGGAGGAGCAGCAAGCGTGTCAAGAAAGACATCTCCTGGCAAGAGGCCCGACGACAGGGACTAAAGACAGTCCGCAGCAGGTGAGTTGATGGCTGGAAGCCACTGCCCAATGATCTGAATGAGGTGCGCAGCCGCTGCATGGCTCAAGAGGTCAACGACCACGAAACGGATGACGTGTTCAGCGGAACGCGTCCGGCGTCCTTTGAGGATTCTTAGCATGATCTTCTCCGCGGCTGCGACCGCAAAGACAGGCAGGACGAACCGGCGAAAGCGCATCGCCAAGTACGACATGCTAGTTGCCTCGTTCCGCGCGATTGCCACGGGCAAGATCGCAGTCGCTCCGCCGAAAGACGTGGGTCAGTCCAAGCTGTGGTTTCTTTTTAAAGCGATGAACGGAACGCGTGAGGCTTCACGTCGGTGGGCAAAGCGAGTGCGTGATTTCATGCCGAGGCAGGGTCTGGCACGTTGATGGGATTCCTGGTTTGTTTCACCACGACGAGTGGTGCAGGACAATCAGCTGTCACGGAGATGACTTTATCGCTGAGGGCGAGAGGCACATTCGGATCGATTGGATGCGTTGATGACGGAGTCATTCGGGACCAAGATCTTGCCACGCATTGGCCGTATTGGCCCTGAGGAGTTCGGAGGCCAAGCTACGCATGGAGATCATTTGCATCGCATCATTCGATGGAGTGCGAGTGGCTTCCACTGGGAGGCAGATCCCAATTACTCTCGCCAGATCGTCGAGCGCTGGCACTGCGCTCTACGTTTCGCAGGATCGCCCGACGATTCAGTATGCCTTGTCGGAGATCAAATCCGGCATGGCTTGCCTGGCTTGCCCCACAGTTGAGCACGAGCTCAAGTTAAAGCACCTTGGGAGGTAGGTACCTTGTGAAGTACCCGAAAGAGGTGTGGCACTTCGAGTATCAGGAGCAGCCTGGCGAAGTTGTGGTGCTTACAGATTCAGACTGGAGCGCATGCAAGTGAACGCAAAAGTCGATGTTTAGTTACGCCGACAGGTTTGGCATGTATCTCATCGATGCTTCGTGTGCAAAGCAATCCGTGATTGCATTCAGCTCTGGAGAGGCTGAATTTCACGGCTGAGTGAGAGGCACATCCCAGATTTGGGACCGAGTCGGCTTCAAGGGGCTAAATACAGCTCACGATGAAGACCGACACAAGTGCGGCGAAAGGAATTGCTACGAGGAAGAGGCTCTGGTAAAGTAAAGCATCCGTCCATGAAGGAGTTTGGATTCAGGATTGCATCCAAGAGAATCAGCTCCGGGTTCAGATGGAACCGACAAAGACTAATAGGGCAGATTTGGGGACGAAGGCACTGTCGCCCCAGCGTGACAAAACTCGTCAGAGGCATGCCTCTCACAGCGGGCTTGGTCCTGGCGTGCCTGTTCGCGTTCTCGAACCAGTTGCAGAGAGCAGATGCCGTTCTTCGAAAACTGCAACCCCTGAGTAGCTGGCCATGGAGGAGTGTCAGGATATAAATGATATAAAGCGTATTCTGAGTGCCACGTTGTATAGTTTGTACTGGTAGCTGGTAGCCCCTTTGGCGCAATGTGAAGCAAAAGAGGTTTGCCTATGCCGTGTGTGCGTGGTTTGAGGGTTAACTTAAGAGAGCGGCCTGCCATGGGGCCTGGGTTTTTGCAACCCCACTGTTTCTGGGTTCGTATCATGATATGTGTAATTAGTTGTCGACGCACAAACATATCAAGTAGTCTGGGACGCTGGACGACATACTCCTCGTTGAAATACCTTAGATGCATCGAGTCTGCAAGCAAAGCATGCACAGTGCTGCACAGCATGCAGACAGTAGACAGTGCATCAGCCATCAGCATTTTGGCACGTCTCCCCTCGACGATGCAACTCATCAAGCCTACCTTCATACTCGACATGCCGGACGCTTCTTCGGAGCAGTCTTCAAGCACTTCTTGCTACAGCTGTATGCCTTTGATACCTTCTATTCTTACCTTTGTAAGGGAACTGGCTGAGGTAGCCAGGCCGCCCGCCTCGGCACACATCATTATGCAACTTACAGAACACCAAGACTTTCAGCTGATGCCGGTGCGGGGAGAGTTCATTGAGAACTCTAGCAGACTCTAGCATACTGGCGAAACCAGGTAAATACCTGTTCCGCTGCCGAAGTGTTTACATTAGCAAAGCGACGGGCAAGGCGACGGACATAATGCGGGTTGCAAGGGCATTGGTCACTGTGCTTGGCACCGTGGAAATAGTCGACACACCAATAGCCCACCTGCGCAAACTCCCTGGTGCGCTTTGCGTGAGGAAGGAAGGCACAAGCTCTGTCCAGGACGATGCCGTCGAGCAGCGGGTACTTGGGGAGGAGCCGTGTGAGGATGCCGTCCATCACTTCATCGCCTTCCGGCTGGTCAAGGCAGGAAACCCCGAGAACTCGCAAAGTGCGAGGATCGACGGCCATGAACCAGCCGTAGCCATATGGCTTCCGTTTGCCGTTCGCCCGAGGCTTTCCGGGGTGTTTCTTGTCCAAGGAGTCGCATTTCACATGCGCCTTGGCATGGCCGTCGCAACCTGCCGCTTGTTCGACGGAGGGGACGCATGGTTGTGCAGTTGTGCACGTAGCGATCGTAGGCTTCAAGCGACTGGCTGGTGACCTCCTCACCAATGGCAAAAGTCATGGGGCGGATACTCACTGAGAGCGATGAAGTACATGATCGAGGATCCATGGACATCTCGGAAGTGACCCCCTCCACTGCAGTGCTCGATGTCGCATACCCTGCTATACACATCGAGTGCTGCTCGAGCTGAAGCGAGAGCCCGGAACTCCAACAGCATGTGGTAGCGAAGGTAGTTCACCGTGAAGCCAATCTTAGGACTGAGAAATATAGCCTCCTCGGCAACATCTACATCTGGTAGGGTGTTGATCTTCACACTTCGATCGATGTAGAAATGGGGACCGTACGTTCTTCTGCAGGAGTACGAGGTGCAGCGGACAGTAACAACCGAGACCTTCTCGGGGCCGGACATCCCGTAGAGGGTGGCGTCGACTTTGCGTGCTTCTGCAAGGTTTCCCTTGCACAAGCACCTGAAGAGATGGGAGCGGAAGATCCTTGAAGTGCTCTGGGCGGCAGGACGCTTCATGCTGACTACCGACTACTGCAGCGAAGGCGAACTACTTGGAGGCGTGGCTGAGGACTGAGGAGAAGAAGAAGCAACACTACATGCGACACATTAGAGCACAATGGTTCGGAGCAATCAAAGAATGGCAACTGATGCATGTTTCGGTGGGCGATGTTCTCGTACTGGCTTCACTGACCTAGATTGATGCAGGTATCATACCAAAGATTAAGTCTGAGCTTATAGCCTCACTCAGAATCAGTGCTGCGGTTCAATCATCCTCCGGGCTTCACCAACACGAGGCAGGCCGTCGTCATCTTCGGACGCAGACCCGTCGCAGTGAACCCTTCGCCGCTTTGCCTGAGCGGGTCTGGGGCTGGGGGTGTCGAGATCGATCGGCGCACTACCGGAAGCCATGGACAGAGATGCGAAGACGTCTGGCTCCTTCTTGACGGGTACCGGAGTCCACCGTGCTGTGGCAGGCTTCGTTGCCCGAGACGCAGCAGGATGTTCGGTTCCGTTAGCAGGGGCGACCAAGTCTGTGCTTTCCAAGTCCACGACAACCCGGCCAGAGAAGGGGAGGTCGGGCCGGGCTTCCTTTCGACACAGCGTTTGGTCTTGTCAAACAAGCGCTTCTCGGTCCTTCTCGGTGGTGACTGTTGTTCGCTCAGGAGCACGGCCCTTTTCGAGAACCATGGAGACAAAGTCATGAGACCACTGCCTCCTCTCCAGCCATGAGATGGTGGACTCTTGTCATCACTCTTCACACGATCTAGGAGTGCCTTGCCTGAGTCGGCACTGAAATCCATGACACCATCTTCGTATTGGATGAGTGGCACGGGATTGGTGCCCGTCCCAGCCTTGCGAATGTAGCACGCCCGATTGGTGTTGACAACCCCGAACGCTTCAACAAGGCCATCTTGTCTTGGCTGGATGACTTCTCGGGGAAGGCCGGGCGATGATGTCCAAGAAGACCTCGTGGGGAATCATGGCCTGGCCGGGTGAGATTCACTTGTCGGCGTCCTCATTGATCTTGTTGTCGCAGAGGATGCGAAGTTGGTTGCGGACGAGCTAACGTGCGAGGAACGAGTTAGTGTTTTATCTTGAGCTTGGAAAACAAACTTAAGAAAGTTTGTTTAGGCAGAACACTTGTGAGTTTGTGCTCTCGTTAAATCTTTGCTCAACTTGAAGCGGGCAGAAAATTTCGAGAAGAGCTCGAAAGGAAGGGAAGGGAGCCATGGGCATGCTCCTCAGAGTGAGATCGCTGAAGCGGAAGAGTGACCTTCTGTTTTGAAGACTCAGCGATGATTGATGCGGCCTGTGATTTGGCCCGAGCTTGCCCGTTTCGAACTTCTTTCAGTCCTGCTGTGGTTCAAGACATTTCATATCGTCAGCATCAGGCTAAGACATGGCCCTTGACCTCAAGCGGTCTGCATCTCAAGCAGAACTATCAGATCAGCACGTGCAAATCTGGATTCAGGTTCCTCCTGACTCTTGTGCAGGAGGTCAGCACCTGTCGCTGAGGGTCACAGTCTCGAGGAGCGACCCCATCGACGAGCTTAAACGCTCCCTGCAACAGGCGATATATTCGAGGACCGCAATGTTTCCTCGGGTCAACTGTTTTCGACTTCTTCAGCACAACCGTCACATACCGTACACGGCTGCAGTCTCTTCGTTGGATCTTCATGCTCCTGTCACTTTTGAGAGAACGGCAGCTGAATAGTCAGCCTCGAAGCCTGGCACCCGGAGCACCGCGTGAAGTGGTCCAACGTTCAACAGTGAAGGACTCCTCCAAGGAAGCATCGAGAAAGGCCTTAAGCTTGGGCATGGGAATCACGTTCATGTCGGCGTCGTCCAGAATGTCTGGAACATGTTTCTTTCCAGGCTCCCCACGCAGCTGATCCAAGCTGGAGCAAAGACGAAAGGAAGGCTTGACGTCCCAAGCCATGTTGTCGACTAGGATCCAGTATTCGGAGATGGCGAGTGCGAGTGCTTGGGCTGCGGGGGTCTTGCCCTTCTCAGCAAGCCCCATCATGACCAAGGTCTTGGGTTTCATGGTGGGCAGCAGAGGAACAAGAACATCGTGAAGGAACCAGCCTTGGAAATCACGCAGAGTGACGAAGAAATTGCTGGTACAGTCGGCGAAGACATTGGAGTTGGCGTAGCCGCGAAGCGACTCCTTGACTAAGCCAGCCGACCAACCGAAGATGGGACTGCCTTCTTTATGAATCTCAACCTCAGTCCACTCGGTCTGCCGATTGTGCATGTTTGACCGAGGTCCGCTGGAACGGATGAAGTCGAAGCCTTTCTGCAGATCCGATGTTTCTTTTGTCTTGGTTTTGGGCTCCTTCAGCTGAGTCTGGAACCACATAAGGCCCCATTGGGCAACATGTTCCAAAAGATACTGGAAGCCCTTGAGACCGCTGCGGAAGTTCGCACCGTAGTTGATGATGTGGAGGTCCCCTGCGAGAGATGTCTTCAGAAGCCGAGCGGGTATCTTGTCTTCAAAAATGAAGTGCTTGCAGAAAACCCACCGGCCATCCGGAGACTGCTGGCCCAGAAGCTGCATTTTGAATTTCATGCCGTTAGCAAAGTTCACAGACAAGGGGCCGGGAAGGTCCTCATACTTCGCGGTGGAGATGATGATAAAGGTGTCCGAAGTCAAAATCCCCTGCGGACATCGGTTCGACAAGCTCAACCACGGACTTTAACAAAGTGGAATGTGTTGCTGGTTTGAGCGGTAGTCGGTGAAAGCTGCCATGCTCCGAGGTTCGTGAATGGATCACCGGCACGTCCAGTGTGCGGAAATCCAATGGAGCTGCAAGCAAGCATGCCTGAGTGAAGTCGGACGGGGGCTTGGTGGACGACATGGACATGACGAGCTGGTGAGAGGACTGCGTGGACTGGCAGGATGAACTTGAACCTTGCTACAGAAAGGTATGTAGGCACGCTGCACGACAAGGTCTTTAGCCACATCTTGGTAAGACGCACACATCCTGCACACAAGCCTTTTCGCTCCGGCGCTTGGTTTCGGACCATGGACAAGGGAAGATGGCTACCAGGTACATTGCAGGCTGTTCTAGGGCTTGTGTCTGTGACACCCCAGTGCCTCATTCGCCAAGAAGAGATCCTTCGAAGTCTCTTCGAACTCGGCTTTCAACTGGGCGTTCGAAGCCTTCAGCTTCTTTACCTGTGCACGCAAGCCTCTTTTTGTCTTAGGCATAGACGAGTCAGACCCGGACGAACTGGAGGACGACGAAGATCCCGAAGAGGACGAAGGCACAGTGCCGTCGTCGTTCGTGGTGTTGTTGTTGTTGTTGTCCGCGATCTGCCGCCTTCACCTGCTTCGGCACTGGTCTGAAAAGATGGCTCAAAAGCGCGACTGCCCTGAGGCTTCAATCGCGCCCCAAGATCGGTGCTTGCAGCTTGTCCACACATGGCACTTCTGGCACCTCAGGTACGCTGACCTGACCTCAGGCTTTCTCCTTACGGCCCATCGCCTTCGTCTGTGAGTGACCAAGTGCGGGACGCCGCTAGACTGGCACT